TTTGTACATTAATCTATGAGGAGAATTGTGTATTGTTAAGCTTTATAGAATCAGATTCTTCTGAACAAGCATTTTCTCATGGTATGGATTTAAAGAGGAGAAAGAAGTGTCGGCTTGTAAAACCAAAGACAACCTTTGAAAGAAACAAAGCTTTAGTGCAAAACTATGCAAACAATTTTAAAAAGGAATTTCGAAATAAAAGACTAGAGAAGAAATAAATCAAATAATGATGAAAAAAAACTGTCACTCCATGTTGCGGTCACAAAGTTTACACCATGTACCTTTATAAAGGGCTTAAGGAAACGACTGATGAAATGTTTAGACTTATGTATATGTACATGTACATATCATGTACATGTATATTCACAACCTTTCCTTTGATCACATACAGTAAACACGAGAACACGAGAATTTAGGAGATGGAATCATATGAAATTAAAAATAAATCAAATGAAAACAGATTGATCGATGTGTACTACCAAATTGATATGACTATTAATACCACTGAAACGTTCTTAATTTGCTGTGATACCTACGGAATGCATTAAAATGCATTAAAAGTGTTGGATTCTAATAGGTTTAAGAAACTCTGGTTGTTTACTTAGGATGCCATTGTTAAACTTAAAATCTCACAAACTGCAGCATTTTGCAACAAGACATAGAACCAAACGGTTCTTCTTTAAAGAATCAGACCCTAGTATTCATAATAATTTTTGGCTAGCCGATGTACGGAAACGTATAACCCGATGTTTGCTTTCAAACTACAGCACTGAATCATTGTGTTTAAATTCAAAATAAATCCTGAAAAGGAAGGATTATTGAGATAAAATGCAAAGAATATTGCATATAAATGCAAATAATTATTGCGTTTAAATGCAAATAATTATTGCAATTAAACGCAAAAAAATATTGCGATTAAACGCAAAAAATTATTGCGTTTAATCACTAGAACCAGACTGGTAATACAAGAAATATTTTGGAAAATATGAAAAGACAACAGTTGACCACTAATGACAGAGTTGCAGTATAAATTGTGTAACTGGTTGTGTATGAGCTTAGCCCATAGAACAACGTACATGTATGTACAGAAAAAATAACTAGACGAAGAAGCATAGATGTGGTGGCATAGTTGTGGGTTTTAATAGAATTGCAAAAAGTATCTATATATATAGACAAATATTAAAGGCTATATTAAAGATTATTACAAATTTTGAACAGCTCAAGAGAAAAAAAAAGTGAAAATGACATTTTCATTGTTAAAACTGTATATAATAGATGAAAGTAGAGATTGTGCTGGATTTACGATACGTATATTGTGTTTCACGCTCGAGCACTACCGGGTTGTTACCACAGACACTTATTTCGGTAATAAATGCTTTTTAACCCATAGTATACTTACTTTACTGTGGGTTAAGATTTATTACCGAAACAGGTGCCTGTGGTTGTTATATTTGAAGACTTTTGAGTTGTTGCCGTTTACCGAACTATAACTACGTTGGTGACATCCTCAACGAGTTTGTTTTTAAATTTCTTTTAAACCCCAGTGTAATCTCTTTGGTTATTCGCCATATCCAGTGAATTCAATTTCTTAGCTATCCCAGAAAAAAAATCATATTACATCAGTGTAGAGTATTCAGTTTTGATCTCCAATTCCAGTTCTCGTTTATGATCAATTTGTGTAAATTGTCATTTCTCGGAATTAGATGGATTCCATTAGATTCAACTGAAACAAAAAATAGGTTTTTCCCTTAATGAGCCAAACCGATGTTTTCAGATAAAGTAATGCACTGTAATTGACAAATAAACTATAATTATCTTAGACCGAAGAAAAAAATGGACGTTAAAATCAAATCTGACCTAATTAATATTTATAACCCCTGCTTATGTGATTCCTAAGGCAGAGTGGTGATTGTGAACAATTTCTGTATTTTATTTTCTGTAGACATACTTTTTTCCACGGGGTCATAATTCCGCGGAATCACAATTTCTGTTTAATCCGCGGGTAGAAAATTATGTGGATTTCTTTAAAAACTGTCACTATATGCCTTACATTCATTTTTAGTATGCTTGGACAAATTTCCGCGGAAAATTTGTGACCGCATACATAGCGTAAATTAATACCACACGGAAAAATGTACTTCTACAGTATTCATACAAATCGTCATTTTAATAATTAAACCCCTGTTCAATTTTAATTTATGTATGCCAAAAAATTAAAAAAGCAATTCGATATCGTTCTGTTTTTTATTGTCTCATTTGTTAAATAAAATCGTTCTTTATTGTTGATTGTACTCTAAGAGCATATTAGATGAAAAGAAAATTGCGGCATTTCTCTTATCTACCAACGTATGTCAGACTATTTTAGAGTAAAAATCTACATGTCGATAATCTACGCAGTAACGTCAGATGCTAAAAATATTTGCATATTAGTACGTTTTTGAGGGAAAATTTGTAAATCAACAAAATGATTTAAAATAAATTTTGAATATTTCAAGGATATTGACAAAATCCTTTAGTTGTCAAATTTTGAATAGAAGTATTTTAAAAAAGTTCCAACGTTAAAAGTCAATATTGTTGGTATCCAAAGAAAGGATTTGTCACATGGAATAAACCTGTGAAATGTAAAAGTCCTAGTCCTACACTGTTCAGAAATTATGGCCATGGTTAAAGTTTTTAAAAAGTTGGTCAAACTCGAGGGTCAAAAATATTTACACACATTGAAAGGTCTTGTCTCAACGAATAAAAGTTCTACTAGTAGCACCAACTGTTCAAAAATTATGACAAAGGATAAAGTTTGATAATTTTTTGTAAAAGTGGGCCAAAATCCAAGGTCAGGGTTAAGAGGTCAAATTTTTGGTGTTACCAAAGGAAAGGTCTTCTCAGAAGGAATATACTTGTGAAATATTAAGTCCTTACCTGACTCACTTAAAAGTTAAGGACAATATTAAAGTTTTGCTAGGGAACAGATAGCTAGACAGACAGACGGACGAACAGGGTAAAATCTATACAACCCCGAATCTTCGAATACAGGGGCATAAAACGAATCTGAATTTTATAAATCGTACATGTAAAAAAAAAAAAAAATAAGTGAAGATCGTATCTTTTGTCTCGATTATATCCACGTCTGAAGTGTAGGTGAATTCCAGCAAGCATCTCGAGGGTAAATTAAATCCAACGATCAATGTAAGTCTTGATTATATCCAAAAGATCATCTTAAATCTTGATTACATCCGAACAATTTTAGTCTAGTTTTTACTCAGCGATCATTTTAAGTCTACATTATACTCAGCAACATCAGTAATCTACTTTTCTAAAGTTCTAGATTATATCAAGCAACATCTTGTCTATGTCCTATAGTCTAGAGCTTCCAGCAACATCTTAAGTCTGCACTAACTATAGTCTACAATTTATCAAGCAACATCTTCATTCTGCATTAACTACAGTCAAGAATATATCCTATTCAAATTGAATAGGTGATATCACCTTTTAGAATAGGTGATATCACCTTTTCAATTTGAATACGTGATATCACTTATTCGAAAATTGAATAGGTGATATCACTTATTCGAATAGGTGATATCACCTATTCAAATTATTTATGAAATAACAACAGCTCCCAAGACTAAAGGTCAAATCTTATTTACTTTCACTTTCGTTTTATAACTAATCATTCGAGGAGACAAATTAGATTACAGTTTTGCATTTAATTTTAATCAACCCCAATAGCAATTGTAGTTTGTTTTGCCCACAAATTAATCTATTGCACTTTTCTATCATGTAAACTTTGAAAAAAAAATTGCAAAACGCATAAAAATTGGGTAGTCCGAATTTTCTTGGTTCCAGTGGTATCACCTTTTAGAATAGGTGATATCACCTATTGAAAATGAATAGGTGATATCACCTATTCAAATAGGTGATATCGCTTTTTGCCAGTATATACTCCGACAAAACCAAAAACTAACAAGATGTGTTTGTGAAACACTGATGACCCCGTATGGCAACATAGCAAAGATTAAACTTTTCTTTAATGCAAATTTAAATAATTGGTACCAAAAGTTGGGTATTCTCACTGGAAAACAATTAAGGTATTTGAAAGTAGGCCAACGTTTAAGTTTTTTCAATAAGTACAAAAATCTCCAAGGTCAAGGTCAAAAGCCAAGGTAATTGGTATCCAATGAAAAGTCATGCCATATAGAATACTTATGTAGAGTATGGAAGCCCTAGCCCTAACCGTTCAGAAGTTATGGCCAAGGTTATTTTTTTTAAAGTAGGTCAAACTCCAAGGTCAAAGGGTCAAAGTTCTTGTTATCAAATGAAAGGTCTTAGTCACAATGATTGAATATGTAAAATATGAAAGCAATAGCCCTAACTCTTTAAAAGTTATGGTCAAGGTTTGCTTTTTTAAAGTAGGTCAACTCTAAGGTCAAGGGGTCAAAGTTCTTGGTATTCAATAAACGGACTTCTAACAAGGATTACATATATGAAGTATGAAAGCCCTATCCCTTACCGTTCAAAATTTATGGTCAAGGATAAATTTTTTTCTCAAGTACGGAAATTTACAATGTCAAGGACACAGGGTCAAGGTTGTTGGTATCCAATAAAAGGTCTTTCAACAAAAAGTACATATATGAAATATAACTGTCCTGGTGTCTACTGTTCAAAAGATATGGCCAAAGTAAAAGTTTAAAATTTTCATTTAAAAGTGGGTCAAACTCCAAGCTCAAGGTCAAAAGGTCAAATTTGGTAGTACCCAAAGAAAGGTCTTATCTCAAGAAATACACATGTGGAATATGAAAGTCACACCTCTACTAAATCAAAAGTTGTGGGCAAGGTTAAAGTTTTTGTGGACAAACAGAGAGACAGACAGAGAGAAGGACGGACACGACAAAAACTAAATACCCCCGGAACTTCGTTTACGGGGGCATAAAAATTATGCCACATGCACATAATTTAATTGACATATACATGTACATGTATTTCCAGGCTTCGGACTGCTAGAGAGCGGATCTGTAACGGTTAAAAATGAGGTTAATATTATGATGAAGAATTCTGTAGACGTTATGTTTGGTGGACTAACATTCTGGATGTTCGGTTACGGTCTAGGATTCGGGGACGAGCCTGGCTCTAACCCTTTCTGTGGATGGGGTGACTTCTTCGTTCACGCTAATTCCTCTGAATTGGGATGGATTTACTCCAAATTCTTTTTCCAGTCATCGTTTGCAACAACAGCAACAACTATTGTATCTGGTGAGGAACATTTATATACCTAGTGTATAATATTTCCAAAACTATGACACTTTTCTTCTTGGGATTTGTTTGACTATTTTCTTACTTTCCTCACAATATTCCGTCTAATTCTGACAATTTCTTCTGTATTGGCTTAGATTCATAATTCTAGTCAGGGACAACGTATTCTGTATCAGGTTATTATAAAGCATGTATAGTTAATTACAGAAAATTGGGTTTTCCTTCCATTAAAACGACGGAATGATTACCCTTGCTAATCCATCACTATACACGTTTTTACTTAATTATATCAAAGACACTATTCCAAGACCTTTAATGACATTGCGTGTTCATCAGACTCCACAAAGAATAAGGTGATGAGCATTTAAGAATTAAAAGACTGAAATAAACTCTTAATTAAAACGCAACAAGTGCCTGGTCCAGTTCCCATATAACCATGAAGCTTTAAAAGACTTAGTTGTGCATGCCATCACAGACATCTGAAGACTTTCACAAAACATCTTACGACCTTGGAAGAAAAAACATCGCAGAGATTCAATAAGTGTCTAAGCTAACTTGTAAAAACAATTACTTTTTTATTACATACACCAATATAAATTACAGTATGGGTTAGCACAAAGAAAAAAATCAGTGTCTTTAAAAAAAGATGGACTGCGGACCAACAAACAGACAGACTGATAGGTGGAACATGAAAATAAAAGTCACAAGTACGTCCAGAAAGCCCATGCACAAAAATGACTACCATTGTACTTCATAGGATCAATGGCGGAGAGGACTCGTCTGGACGCCTACATCGTGTTCTCCATGCTGAACACTTTCATTTTCTGTATCCCTGCCCACTGGACCTGGGCGCCCGGGGGGTGGCTGTACGAGTTAGGGGTGATTGACATCGCAGGCGCGGGACCGGTACATCTCGTGGGCGGGTTGACCGGTCTGGTGGCAACTCTGATGCTGAAACCGAGGCACGGCCGATTCTCCTCAGATAAGAGCAAACGGCCTCCCATGGGATCTCCAACGAATGCTATTCTAGGAATGTTCATGCTTTGGTTAGTTTTATTTACTTTTCACTCTTGGATCATTGGATCATTTTGTCATTAAGATTGGAAGACTAATTACGAAGGCATTTAGCATTGTGTTTTTCAAATGTCACATGTCTTGTGGATATTTTATTTGACATATAAAGATGTACCAATATTCGTATTTGTGAATTTTAGAAATAGTCAAAATATTTCAATCATTCAAGAAATGGTCAAAACTATACGTTACAAAAATCGATACTAAGAGTTTAATTAATTATGGTATACATGTACATGTATATACCGGTATGAAATAAAATACTGTAAACCAACTTTTATGCGCGACGACTTTATTTCACGCTTTACCGAGAGTAAACTAGTTCGCGACGATTTATTTTCGCGATCAAGCCTTTTTGGAACTGTTTTAGTAGAAAAAGAGACTTTAAAGACGTGTTCGCGGCGAGAAATATTCGCGATGATGAGGCTCTCGTGAACGTCGCGAAAATTTCTCGCACGCGAATAAAAGTTGGTTTACAGTAAGTATTTTTCTTACTGAAAGGTGGGGCTGGCTTGGCTTCAACTGTGGAAGCACATTTGGCATATCTGGTCTCAAATGGAAACTTGCTGCAAGGTAAGATAAATCTAAATAAAAAACGAAAATTGACATTATTGAAGTGTGTTGGTATAATGTTTGTGACGACATTTCTATTTCAGGTCAGCTGTGACCACTGCTCTTTCATCCGTGGCTGGTGGCATTGTGGGGATTATGACCAGGTAGTAGCATTGTATGACAAACATGATTTCAACTTTCCCTTATTTACTAAGAAACTGAAATTCTAGATCATGCATTACAGATATCTTTATACCTTTCTAAGAATTTTTATTCCATTCCATGCAATTTGTGTAAATCACTTTTAATTCGTGAGAATTTAATTTTCGCGTAATCACGCGAGACAAGGTACTTGCGAAAATATCAGTCTTGCATATATTAGTGTTCCGTAAGATAATATAGAGCAGTAACCACAATTCGTGAAAAATTTGTCTCGCTATATTGAGTTAATGTCTACCTCGCGTAAATAAGGTTTCGCGAAAAATTTGTGATCCATAGAAGTAAGAAGAACGTACAATAACAACAAGAGAATCTTAGTTAAAACAAATTCATTTATTTTTCGTGCAATTTTTTTTTTAGAAATTAGATACCAGGTATGTGTGAAGTTCTTCATTTAAGGACTGAATACGAGAACAAGGAAGGAATTACAAATAATAATCTCGCTGTTTCACATAATACACACTAAACTGATGAGATGCTAACAAATAATATCGATAAACAAATTCATAACCAGAGTTATGGCATTCAGAATTATTTTTAATCGTAATAGAGCTCTAAGTGCATGCAAACTGTTTAATTACAATGTGGAAAATTAATACCCGGTACTTTATGAAATGAAATCCCAAGATACAGACCTGTATTTGAGTTAGAACTCAGCCCCTATTTATTCTCTGATTTTGGTCCCTTGTGAATAAATGAAAATACATGTATTCTGAGGATTTCTGCATGAATTTTTAAAACTTCCAGTAATTATTTGTTTAAATGAATGTCAACGATTTAAAAATCAATCTTTGTTGTGATTTGTATTATTATAACATTCTAGTTCCCCTTTTCATGAAACGGCCAAGGTGACAAAAATTATAAGGATTATTTTTCTTTAAACAAGAGGCCCATCGCTCTTTTGAGTAACTATGGCCATGCTGTTCTTCAACAAATTTCCCCCTTTCCATACTTATTTTGGCCCAACCCAAGTAATTAAAATTCTACACTACCATATATCATACTGTTATTTTTCCCCATATTTATTTGGTATGTATGAGCAGAATTAAATGATCTTGTAACGTAAAAGACTCACGTAATAAAGGGGGTTAAAAGATGTAAATCACAAGTTTATGCTGAGGTTACTCTATTTTACCTACTGTTCTGAACATGCAATATTTTTTTTTTCAGTTATATTTTCAAAAACAGAAGATTTGACGTAGTATATACTATCAATGGCATTCTGGGTTCACTTGTTGGAATTACTGGTAAGAACGTTTTTTATCTAGAGTTTTAGTCGATTAAATGAAAATAAAATTTTATAGGATAAAATGTGCCATCGGAAAAGTAAATCTGATTAAAGATAGGAATACAAATATATTTCTGTGAAACGTTTCTGAGTTGGTATAAAGTACTGCATATTTATAACACAGCAAGCTGTGCCCTTGCTAAACCTTGGGAAGCTATGGTCATTGGAGTTTGCGCAAGCCTGATCACCAATGGAGTCTGCGCTTTGCTAGATAAGCTAAAAATAGATGACCCAGTTGGTGAGTACGACTCAATAGCCATGTTTATGTGCAATGTATAATCAAACATAACAATTATATGTATTTTTTTTAGCATCAAAGCATTTACACTGTCAAAAGGAAACTTTGATGCATCTTTTAGACTCTTGTCTCTACCTCTTTAACTTTATATTTTTCCATAATACATGAATCACTGGTTTTTATGGTTATTGACAGAATTACTGCTTTAAGTACCGTCTATGAAATATAATGGTGGATGAAGCTTTTATTATAAGTATTACAATGTGCATATGTGACATCACAATTCCATCCAACACTCTAAAACATCAAAAGGAATTTACGACAAGTATGTGACAGAGGCAAATTTTAAAACGATAATACACCTGAATACCGAAATGAATCATCACACTATGCCTGCATACTTAGTACTAATGGAAGATCGCCGCAAATAGGTGAGAAATATCAAATCTAAGTTATATTTCAATTTTAGGTTGTGTTGGAACACATGCAGCGAGTGGGATGTTCAGTCTTCTGGCATCTGGGTTGTTGACCGAAAAAGACGAACTGGCTGATGCCTTACAGCTACAACGAGTACGCACAGGGCTAGTTTATGTACGTTTTCTATACCAACTGATGTCACTTGAAACTTTGAAAAAAGCTTCATTTGATTGATTCTGTTCAGTATCACTTGTTAAAAAGGTTTTATTTCCTGCATTTTCTTATAGTCTGGTCAGTTTTATCAACTCGGGATACAAGCAGTGGCTGTAGTTTCAATATGTGCTTGGACGATAATAATGTCTTACATATTTCTGAAGCTGATCCAAGTTACTGTTGGTCTCAGAGTGACACTTGAAGAAGAAATAATAGGCTCTGATATTGTAGAACATGCAGTAGGTGGCGTTCATTATGATAAAGAGACCCGGATGATTGTGCAAGATATAGCCAATCACGAAGAGCCAGATATAATACGTCATCATGATCAACAGACCACATTTTCACGGCGAAGGCAGTCTCACACTTATGGAAGACGGATGTCGTGCCAAAGTGAAAGTTGTAATGATAGCATATACTTTCATTTACCAGAACTGCCAGTCGTGAAAGAAGAAGAATCGAAAAGTATTATGAAGACGTTACTTAAAAATATAGCAAGCAGATGTATTAAGAGTAAGAAACATGTTTTGTTCAACCATGAAATCCACAACACACTCAGTACGAGTAAAGAACAAGGAGATATAAGCGTTGTTCAACCTGAATTCCTGCTCCCTTCACTCCCATTCTGTAAAGAAAATGAAGAATTGGAGAGAGAAAAGACCACAACGTACGTTTAAGATATGAGTAATAAACTGAATTAACCAATACAACAGCAATAGCACCATGAGCAGTGTCTGTTGCAAACTAAGTGTACTATGAATACGATAATATCATAATGTTCAGATTCTCTTTATTTATAATAAAATTAATGACAAGTCCTGGTTTCTTCTTCTCTTGATTTGTATTGTTTCAAAGGACTTATATTTTATACTTCAGATACCAGTTTTTTTTATCCTGACGCAGGTTGGTTGTGGATTGATCGATTGATTGTATACAGCATTGTTTAACGTCCCTCTCGAGAAATTTTTACTCATATGGAGACGCCAACACTTGCCGGTGGAGAGCTGCAAATTTTGTCCTATACTCGGCACTCAGGGCCATTGAGCAGGGAGGGATCTTTTTCGTGCCAGCACCTTCTGTGACACGGGACCTCGGTTTATACGGTCTCAACCGAAGGACCGGTCTCCACGTCCCACTGTGGGATTCGAACCCACGACGTAAGGATTGACTCCTTACTCCGCAACTCTAGAGCAGACGCTCTAACCACTGCGCCACGCGGGCGACTTGGTTGGTTGTGAAGGTTACGTGATTTGTATGCTAAATTATGTTAACAAAATTGCTCAGATGAAATTCCTCTTCAAATAAAGTACAGATCAGTTACCTGTTCGTACTGGCGCATGGTGGTGCACGGAAAACAATGTGAAATAAAAAATTATGTAGTGCATCTAGAATAATTCTGTTGGTTTAAGGACGGATGGTGTGGCTAAGTAACTTAGATTTGAAGTTGTTTAGGAATGTTCTTGTTCCCAGGGATGTTGGTAGAGAATTCCACGTCCGTATACCATCAGGGAAGAAAGATTTCAGGTATACTTAGGTTCTGACGTAAGGAACCAGAAATATAATGCTGTTTCTCTTGGTTGTAGTGGTTGGAAACAGGAGTAATGATGGAATGACAACAAGCTAGTATCTATGCAGTACATCATAATAGCTTTTGCTCGACCACGTTGCTCCTGAAGAGATGTCCATCTAAGCATGTCTGATACGCTGCTAGTTGTCCTTTAATCAGACTTGACCATTCGGGCTGCTCGTCTTTGAACCATCTCCTGTTTGCTAGCAATGTCCCTGTTGTAGGGATCCCATATGATGTTCCCGTATTATACGTTGAGCATAACTAAGTTCTAATAGCACAGGACCTTTGTTTCCAATGGACGTAACTACCGGCACGGTAGCTCAAAGAGCGGTCGCTCCGTGTGCGAAAGGTCTCAAGTTCGAATCTCGGCCGCGAATGACCTTAGTCAATAAAAAATGGGTAGCATCTGTTCCCTCTCCATGTACCTGCCACCTTTAAATGAAAGTTTTGGGTCCTGTGAATGAGACCTTAAAAACCAAGGCCCTATGGCACGGTAGACGTTGGCACAAGAAAGATTCCTTAATGATCAATGGCTGTAAGTGTCGAGTAAAGGTCAAAATTTAAAGCCCCTTTACCCGTATAAGGGGACATCTCAGATGGAACGTAAATCAACATACAATCAATCACTTGATCCAATTGACACTGATGTAAAATGCGTCGCCAAAAAGGCAGCTTTTTTGCAATGGTGTCATTGTAGTGGTCCCACTTCAGGCCTTCATGAAGGTGGATTCCCAGGTATTTAGCTGTTTCTACTACCTGGAGGACATGATCATGAATGAAATATGGTACATTGACCACCTTCCTTTTCTAGGTAACGTAGACATATACTTCCGCATATAATAGTAATGATCTTCCCTTGGAAAAGGTCGTAGCCTTTCTTTTTAATAAACTTTAATCACCTTTACCCAAAGATACTTTGTACCAAGTTTGGCTGGTATTGGCCTGGTTTCTGGAGAAGAATGTAAAATTGTGAAAAATTTACAACGACAACGACAGGCAATGGACAAATGTCGATCAGAAAACCTCACTTGAGGCTTCGTCGAGCTATAGAGTCTTTAATAAAGCTCTGGTTAAAGCTGATTATTCTAAGAGAAGAGAAAGAGAAACGAGCGTACTTCAGTGACATTTGTTGGTAATGGCCATTAATTGACTGTTTCTTATCTAGAGTCGCGAAGTAAGGAGTCAATACTTACGTCGTGGGTTCAAATCCACTGTGGGACGAGGGGACCGGTCCTTCGGATGAGACCGCATAAACCGAGTTTCCGTGTCGCAGTAGGTGCTGGCACGAAAAAGATCCTTTCTGTTCAATGGCCCTGAGTGCCAAGCATAGGACTCAATTTGCAGCTCTCCACCGGCAAGAGGTGGCGTCTCCATATTAGTGAAAATTTCTCGAGAGGGACGTTAAACAACATACAATCAATCAATCTTGGTCGTTTACTACACCTTCCTCGCTCGTGTCAAATACCTTTCTAAGGTTTGCTTACATTTCCAAAAAAACGTCACCTAGGTAGACAAAATAGATATCTCAGCCGAAAGCTGTCAAAAAAATTTCCAATAGGCGCTCAGATGATGTAGTATATCACAGGATAAGCAGAATAGTATTGAATTTATTAGGGGAGTCCACAATGTGTAGCAAACGCTGTCTTGTTTTCGTTTTCTGGATATATCTCTTTCTGCCAATATTCCGAGCAAAGGTCTAGGTTAAAGAACCCCAAGCTACCATTCCATGCACTAATCCAGTGAGTCACCTATATTTGGTTGAGAGTGTTGCATCTTTTATTGTACAGCTATTTAATTTATTGTAATCAATGCAGAAGCAGTCCGTTTCTTTTTTTTTACTAACAAAATAGGTACAGACAATGACCTGCCCATTGCTCAATCACACCTCTTACAAATAAGTATATGTAATTTCCTCTTTAGATGAACTGGAACTTTTCATGTGAGTATTTCGATAGAATGATGTCCCTCAAGTTCAATCCTGTGATTGACAATCGAGACCCCTATGTCCTAAATCTTTTTCTGACTTTGCGAATAGATTGGTATATTTAAAAAAATATTACCTTCCCTTTTCTGCTTTTCTGTCAAGTGGCCTAAAGTTTTCTCCAGCATAGCCACCGAATCAGGTCTTTATTACGTCGATTTGCTTGATGTATACATGTACATGAACTTTTCTTGTGACTCCACCACTCTAACTTTACTGAGTTGTCCAATTACTGTAACTAGGTAAATGGTTGGCTTCCTCACCAAAGTTAAGGAAACGGACATGAACTATTTCATTAGATTTTGTTTGAATATCGATTAACGTTTCTCTCGAGAATTTTTCACTGCATATGGGGACGCCACCACTTGCAAGTGGAGATCTGCAAAATTTGACTTATACTCGGCAGTTAGGACCATTGAGCAGTGAGGGATCATTTCTGTGTCGACACCTACTGCGACACCTCGGCTAATATGGTCTGATTCGAAGGACCAGCTTCCACGTCGTTCAGTGGAATTTTAACCTGCGAGGTAGGGTCAACGGCTTACTCCACGACTCTATCTAGCAGATGTTATCATCGCGCCACGCAGGTGAATTTCATAATGTAAAGCAAGTGTTTTGGTTGTGATATAGCATTCCCTTGGCGAACCAGATGCAAAAGGTTCTACTAAACAAGTATTCCTTAGAGCATGTTTGTGGTCCTTAATAAGAACTGGTCATATTTATATACATGCAAGCATCCTCTAGTAGTGTAGATTCAAGTTTATACGAATCATGGCTGCTTCGGTTAGACAGGGCCACAACGGGCGATCAGTTTTACCGGAGTATATTGGATTACGTACTTACTTAGCCCTCTTCATGCCAGGTGGCACATAAGGCAGCCAACAGCCAAACAGTCCCTCCACCCAGTCCTATCTTTTGATTTTGTTTTTATTCCCTCCCATGCCATCCCTATCTCTTTCTCTGATATTCTTTAGATATGTTGTTTTTGGTCTGCTCCTTCCCCTTGCCATCAACCGTCCAAAATATGCCCTCTCTGGTGATGTTGTGCTGATATTTTCTGGGCACATGGCCAACCCATCTCCAATTTCTTCGTACAATTTCCACCTCAATGTCTTCTTGTTCTAACATCTCTCCGAGCTCATTATTGGAGACTAATTTTTTCCATCTGATCTTGAATATGGTTCGTAGGCATCGATTCACAAACATTCACAGTTTCCTTGCGAGGTCTTTCGATCCGAGCTTCCAGCATTCTGTCAATATAGAAGTACTGATTTAAAATAACTTTTGAAAATCCTGAGCTTTGTCCTAATGGTCATATATGGAGGCCCAAACTGGATTCAAGATTGCAAACACATGACAGGCTTTGTTGATTCTTGATGTAATGTCTTCGTCAGTACCTTCTGATGTTGTATGTGAAGGTGCCTAGATCTTCCAAATGCTCTTCATTTACATGTAAGGGGTTGTTATTCCGTGCATTGATTCTCATTATTTTTGTCTTGAAGTTGATCTTTAAGCCTAAACTTCTAGATGTTGTATGGACTTTGGATGTTTTCTCCTAGATTTGCTGATAGGTGGATGAGATGAGACATAGTTCGTCGGCATAATACAGATCATCCAGTTTGTTTTCCATTCTCCGTCTGACGCAGTTATCCATATCTTTGTTGGATTCCCCCATGAGACAATCTATGGCCACTAGAAGAGCAGAGGCGATAACATACAGCCTAGTTTCAATCCCGAAGTTACTGGGAACCACAGTGTTCGAGCATTGTCAAACATTACACTACACTGGAATCCTTCGTGCAGTACCCTGATGATGTCAATCATCTTCGATTGTAGGCCATAAAGTATCAAAAGCTTTGATAGACTTTCCTGTACTGTATTAAGCACCTTTTCAAAGTTTACAACGTTAAGGTATAGAGAAGACTGCCATTCTATTGACTGCTCTATGGTGTTCCGTAATACAAAAATTTGATCGAACAAGATCTTCCTTGTCCAACCCCTGCTTGTTACTTCCTCAGTTGTGCATTGATCTGTCGTCTCACTCTCTCTAAAAGCACTCTGGTAAACACTTTACTTATTGTGAGTAGAAGTGTGATTTCACGCCAGTTCTTGCACTCTGATTTATCTCCCCTTTTTGGTAGTTTAATAATTAGTCAATTTTTTCACTTCGTTGGTACTATGTTGGCTCTCCAAATGTCTTGGAAAAATATGTTTATATGTAACTTTTAATGTTGTTTTAATGTCTGCTTTTAGTAATTCTGCTG